AACTGATCTGGTAGTAAATTCGGGTTTTATCTGGTGATAAACAGTTGGGGTCAAGTTTCACTTTCCCAAAATAAATAGCAGACAATGACTGTGGCTTCAGCAAGAATAGAATTTCTCTGAGAGGTTTTAAGCGAAGTCTCGCTACTGTCAAATCAGAATTTAGTGTGTTAACTCCATTTGTAGGTCTGAACATATTAAATTTGTCCAACAGCACAAGGGAATCTTGAACATCGTTCAGGAACATCATTCATAGCCTTATGTGACATATAGAATCATAGAATTTATGATTAGAACAATATATGAACATATGATTTCAAGAACCTAAAGTGGTGTGATCTCATCAATGACTAATGTCTAATTATCTATTTAAACAGAGGTTTGGTTTCACAATTCAGCTTTGGAAAGTCTATAAAATGATGCATTTGTCCCCAGACGGAATTCTAGGCTAAGTAATTTCCATAATATTAAACAACTTGTATACAAAAAATACTGTCCTTTCATGGATGTCAGAGTTGAGTAAAATGAAACCTGAACCATTCTTGACACAGATATTTACTAGAGCCCAAGCTTTGACTGAATCATAACATCCATATTCTTAATATAATTTTATTGTGTGAGTCTTGGCACATCCAAACTTCAGCTGGGCCAAAGGAGGTAAAACACTGAAATACTATGAGAAACTCTTTATTAGTATTATTGTGTTATTTTAATTTTAAAAAACATTAAACTGTGAATTGTGACTGGTGCAGCTGGTGGATATGGAAAGACAATGGAAGCTTCCTGGCTTATTGGCTGTCATTATGTTATGTTTCAATCGCCTTTCTTTCCTTGCACGTGTTAAAAGTCTACCTAGAATCGAGCAACATAAACTCTAAAATTAAATCGCCACGGTTACAATGGGGAGGCAGAGCATGTATTTACTTCTAAAGATAGATAGCTAAAGTTAGGACCTGTAACTCCTTGGATTGTCTACAGAATCCATGGAGCAGCAGCGGTTTCTCCAGGGAACACTTTCAAAGCACCTTTGCTCAGGTTTCTTCTAAGTTGTCTTGTGAGGGTGCATGCAAAAACCAGATGGTACTTTAAGAGCTCTCTAAGCCACAGGGTGAATACATCTGCACTGCCGGCGCTGTCTCTCCCTGGGATCACAACTGGCTCTCAAACAAAACCAAAAGTGGATCATCTTTGCAGTGCTCAACTTTGCCCAGGAAAAGTTTTGGAGAACATTAGTAGAAGTGGCCCAGACAGGCATTGACATCTGTATTCCTGTACTTGGGAATATTCCCATGTGCTTTTTCATTCTCTAGCCTCTGTGTAGCCAGTCTCTATATGTATTTGGTATGCTGTGGGCTACCTGACAGGGTGGCTACTGAGACCATGACAGCTGGTCCTTAGCTAATCTATGAAAGCATCAACCTTTTATCATCTTTTCCTGTTAGAATGTGTGATAAATACAGAGGTTTGTTCCCAGGCATCACCAAGGCACAGGCATGGTCTATTTGTCCATAGGTCAGGAACTATTATAGAATCATAGAATCATAGAATGGTTAGGGTTGGAAGGGACCTTAAAGATCATCTAGTTCCAACCCCCCTGCCATGGGCAGGGAAACCCTCCACTACACCAGGTTGCCCAAAGCCTCATCCAACCTGGCCTTGAACACTTCCAGGGATGGGGCATCCACAACTTCTCTGGGCAACCTGTTCCACTGCCTCACATTATGAGAGCTGTTTTAAAGAACTGCGTTCCGGGCTTCGTCTTGACACCAGGGAGATTTTGTTGAGTTTCTGGGTGATCACATGTAAATACGTTTTCCCACTTGACATTTGTCAGCGAGTTTCGATACTTGCTGCTTCATGCTTTCAATTCCTTTGCTGGGTATTTTCCAAACATTTTAATGAGGTGATTTTTTTTAAAAAAGCACAAAGCACAACCATTCGTGCCAGGAGTGGGCAGACCATACGCAGTGGTGGACTTGCCTTGTTAAGAAGCTGCTGTTTTCAGTTCAGGATCTAAGTACTACAAAAACACTTTAAATGCACCATTAAGCTTTTATTTCTTTAAGAAGAAAGGAGGTGTTCAAGCCTGCAACTTTGTTGAAATACATTTTCCTTAATTTCCAAGAGATTTATTGTAAATTGTTTAAACATTATCACTGTGAATAAATACACCAACAAACCACAAGTCATATACTTTGATCTGGTTTTTGTTTCTTCACTAGTGAAACAGCTATTGTGTATTTTTCATCTATTTTATTTATTGCTGTGGTGATCATAAGCAGCAGCTAGGGCAGCTAGGGCAGCTCACGTGACGTATGGCAATTACACACCAAATGGAAAGGCAATATTGCTTGTCTTCAAAGTTTTGGACTTTGAAGCATAGAAAATAGGCCAAGATACTGCTGTTCACAGGGTGTAGGCTAAGGAACAAATTGTGAATCTCACATTTTCTCTATCACTATATGTGTCAAGCTATCTCAGGCTTGTCCAAACAATTTACTGTGGGTGAATTCTACAACTGCTCTGGCTTGTAGATCCTGCAAGACAAAGACGAGTTGGTTTTCGGTCAAGAGATGCAGTAGGATACCAGCACATAAAGTTGAAGGAAGATTTTGGAAAGTGGCCACAAGGTCATGGTATCCTGCTTCATTTCTATGTATAACTTAGATAGAGCTTCCTTTACAGGTGAGGGCCTGCTTTGCCTTCCATTCAAAGAAAAAAGCTTCCTTTCCCCAAAGGCTAGCATCAACCAAAGGGGCAGTCAAGAGTGGAAAAGCAGAAATTGTCTCAGTCTTACAGGTTGGCATCTGAAGAATGGCATAGAAAGTGAAATTGTGTTCCGTTGAAAGGTAAATTAAAAATCAAGAATCATGAACGTTTTGTGTGTTAACACAACTGATTTTGTTTATTTTTAAACCACCCCAAAATCCAATCATGCTGTATGTACATAGACAATACATGGGATAGTACACCAAATGTAGACAAGAATCATAGAATTGTAGAATGGTTTGGGTTGGCAGGGACCTCAAAGATCATCTGGAGATTTTATTTTTTATTTTCATTGTACATCTGCTCAACCTAATGCAATGATCCAAGCTATATGAACTCCCAGGTCAATCCTTTCTCAATTCCCAAGTCCATGCTGTCTCTCTAAGTGCAGACATCCATCATATCACCTCTGGGGTGTTTGCCTGAATGATAAAGTGTGCAGATTTTTATATAGGTTCCTCTGGGCCTCATTCTTATGTAAAACTGTTCAGTGCAGAACAAGTATATCAGTATGTATCTGTTTTAACTATATTCTGTAGTTAGTAGATAAGACCAGCTAATGCTTTGGGTTACTCAGGAAATCATAAGTAGCACACACACAAAAAAGAAAACAGAAAATAGTCTTCCACGTCATTTAGAGTGTTAATTTTCTTTACGTTTCCAGTGTCATTTATTTTGCTAAGCACTACTGCAATTCTTTCCACTTGTCTTATGCTCTTATTTTCTTACAAAACACTATACTAGTCTTTCTGTATAAAACATATATATAAACATTTATATATATATATATATAAAAACAAAGCAATGACCCCCACAATGGACTTACACACAGGTATGTATTTGTCCCTCATTAGAAAATATACCGTGTGCATATCTATTAATTGTCCCTGAATGTCAAAGTCCTGGCTATTAGAATGGGGTCAAGAAGAAAGGAGCCTTTTTTTTCCTGGTTTGCTTTAAAACATACATTTAAATTACCTAAGATGAACAAAAGCAGAGTAGTTACGGGAACAATCAGATCCTATTTACATATTGGCACCATGTTGTTGTCGTTGTAGTTACTACTCTCCAATTTGACTTCTAGTTATTACTTCCCAGGAATTAATATATCGATACACTTTTTGTCATATATTCTCTCCCCTTACAATGAGCTGGATGTAGGTTCAAGGAGAATGAAAAACTAGAGGATCTAAATGGATCCTGGGACTCTGGAGACTCTTGCTCTACTTAACTTTTCTGGCTCTCTTTCTCAGAGATTATCAATAATTTAGAAAATTTTGGTTAATTCTATATAACAAGTAATTTTTAATGGCCTTTCTTTCCAAAAGGTGCTTTTGGGAAATGATTTGAGATAGTTTTTCACATGCACTGCTGGCATTACATACTAGCCTTTCATATTTGTATAAATACTTTTTCCAGTATAGGGCCTCCATTATTGGTACGGATGGTTCTCTGCCCTCAGTATCTATTCTTTCAGCAAATAGACTGGTCATTTGAACTACTTATCATTACTGAGTGACGCACCGGGAGAACCGCTCATGCTAAATACACCAGGAAATTTGATGGTGGCAAGAGAGGGGTTAAATTTCAGCCCAATTTATTTAGCTCAAGCAAAAATGTCTAAAGACCTCTAGGCCTGAAGACTTTATAATTGAAAAACGTCAGATATAAAAATGATCTTAAGATGATGGGCAAAAAGTGAAAAACCATACTGAATTAAAAAACAAGTACTGCTTGCTGGTTTACAAAGAGTCTATAACACTGATAAAATCTTCGGAAACCAATGTGTGCGGTTTTTATTTTCCTTGTCCTTCTTTATTTTGGCTTCATTTCAACCCGGGAGTTCATATCATCTCCTTCCAGATCATACTCTTCTACTTGGCCACTTGTCCACACCTTCACGCGGTCAGTCAGGTCACTGCTTCTGGGAGCCAGGATGAAGTCATAAATCAGGGCAGCACTTGCTCCTCCAATGATTGGGCCAACCCAGAAGATCTGAAACACGGTTCCAAGCCCAGTTAATACATCAGGTATTAATGCATTTGAAGCTATTCTTAAAATCTCCCCTGAGGATTTTCACTACAAAATTTACAGTTTAAACATTAAAATTACGGTCTATCACCTGAATATTTGCTTAACCACACGGCAAGAAACCGGGAATTTCTCACCGTGAATTGGAAATAGACCTAGAGATTAATAAATGTGAATATGTTGTGGTCAAGTTCTGATATTTAAAATTGAGTATCTACTGGTAAAACATCTCTTTCTCCAGATATATTTGGCAGAAGGGTACAATTTCTAAAAGCAACAAGGGCATCACATTCCATTCTCCCACTAACTTTCAGTGATAGGTGAATTAATACCTAGTAAGGACATAATTAGGGGTTTAATTCGCTACTACCTGCTATTTAGCTAGTGATATTGCTATAATTGCACTGGTCTAATCACTTAAGGCAAGTAAAGTTCAGAGGTAGAGGTAATAAAAATGTTTTAGTAAACAGGTTGATTTTGTTAGAAATAACAGATGACTTTGAGGGATTTGCATGGCCAAAGAGCTCCTGAGTCTGAAAACATGTTTTCTTTTATTCAGAAATATTAGTATTTTAATATAAATTATTACCTCTATCTCCTTCTCTCTTTATAAAGGAAAATGATTTTCTATTAAATTCTGAAAACAATAGCTACTACTTTAGTTGTAATGCCTTAGTATCCCAAAAGAATTTTTTAAGTGGGAGATAATGGCAAAATTTCCCGAGTATCCTCCTTTTGTGTTTTACTCTTTGGTTAAAATGGCATCCATATCCAAAATTTTCACAACCCATTGTACTACTACTAAATTTCCATGAATGTCTATTGAATTGGCTGCCAAAATCGTGAGTAGGAGAGTTGGAACAAGCTACATTTTAATATTCAAGAACACATGCTCATTTAGAACTTTTGTATCAGCCTTTTTTATTGAGCTTTAGTGAAATAAGTAAATTGTTGTGAAGTTCCTCATTTTAACCACTTTTAACCACAGGGCACAATCTAAAATTTATAGCGTTTCCAGAGCACTTATCCATGCAAACACATAAGCAGACACTTAACTTTAAGATGAATATTTTATTACCTTCCAGATATTGGATGATCCATTTCAGTTTATAAACATGCTTAAGAACCTTCCTAAATTAGATCCTACCATATTAAGCAGTAGAACTTTGAAACTCAGTTTAAACAATACTCAATACATAATTCTGTGTAATGAGAATTTAATGTTTAATATATTTGAAATAAATAAACATAAAGAGAAATAACCAAACTGTGTTACTTTGAACATAGTAACTTCAGCTTAAGGACTTTGTGATCTCCCAAGGCTGATCAGGAGCAAAAAGAGATTATCCTTTGTTAAATGAAATAGAAATAGTAACTCATTGACTTGGTGCTAATTATATGTGCTTAAGTGTTTCTGATCTTGTAGATTATGTATACACAGAACCTCTAGTGAGCTAAACAAATTTATTCAACTTACCCAGTGATTTTCAAAGTTGTTGGCAATCAGGGCTGAGCCAAAAGATCTAGCTGGGTTAATTCCACAACCGGTGTAATCAATCTAGGAGGTGGAAAGAGAACTGGTGGTGAGGCACTGATGTACATGTGGCACCTTCATTACACAAGTGGCAGCCTGCAGCCTTGTTTGGATGCTCACAATAGCTTCATCCATCCCACCCGCTCAAGATCGTTTGCCATGTGCCTGTCCTATCCCACCAGGGAAACAGGTCATACCGCAGCCACTCCTCCCAGATGTGCAACCTCATCATTTATTGCCACAGCCACATGGCCCAAGAAAGAAGGGCTATGCATGTTGCAGAAACAAGGTCAGTCTGTGAAGTGGAAGGAGAAGGAAGAAACTATCATCTCCCTGTCATCTCCTTGCCTTCATTGGCCCATCCTGAGGTGGGACATTGCAGATATCAACTGCGAGAGCTAAAACTTACAGCAAGAAGATGTCCCAAGGCAACAGAGAGACCTATGGCCAAAGGTGCTGATCCCGAGACATCAGTTCTTCTCCGGTCTGTGGTGGCGAGGACACACAACACTAGTTGGAAGGTAGCAATGATTTCGATACCTAGTCCTTGGCCTGCATTGATTCCCTCTGAAAGCTGCATGGAGACAAGAAGGAAAATGTCATTTGATGTTCCTACCTGACTTCAACCAGTAAGACAAAGTTTTGCAGGATCTACTTTCTCTTTAGGAAAATGCAGACCTGCACAATCATTTCCCTCTTCCGGTTGCTTTTGCTTAACAGGTGAAGAAAAAAAAAAAGAAAAAAAGACGGTGAACGGAAATTATTTTTGAAACACTCACTGCTGTACTCAAGTCTAGGCATAACCAGCTTTTGGTGGTGGTGCAACATGGTTGCATGGGTGCTGCATCCAGCCAAAGTGAACACTCAACCACTGGACACAATGAGAACGTAACCGATCTACCTGAGAAACAAATGAGCCAGAGATTCATCTTCAGTAGAGTTTACCCATAGAAGGGAACTGTGGTGTCTTGAGATATTTATTAATTGTTTCTGAGAGGATCCTGTGGTTGTGTTGAATATTGCTCAGCTTGCCTTCAGAAACAATTGTTAAGTAAACAGAGGCAAGAGGAGGAAGGGACAAATAATAAGAAAAGTGCATACCTTGAAAGTACCTATCTCTGTTATTGACAAGTCACATTAATCTTTTCTTCTTTTCTCCCACCACTGCTGTAATTTTCTGTAATTCAGTATGAGCTCTTCAAAACACAGAACTTCAGGTGGACAATGTCCTGCATAATGCTGGCCCCTTGGGCAGATATCCACATTAATATTAAGACACCTATACTGTGATTCAGTGGCCTGAAAATATGCCTCTAATGCCATTTGAAGTACCCTGAGTTATCCACAGCGCCCATGTGGGACTGGTAGATGTGACACAAGGCCTCCAAAAGACCAATGGTGTCTAAAATATCTCTAGATGTCAATGCTTGGGCAATGTATCTCTAACTCGGATAGGTAATGAACGTAGTCAATGCAGATGAGATCCATTCAGCTGATGAAATGTAGGTGATCATTTGAGAGCCTGCTAAGTAGTTCTATCTTTTATTTTGTATTCACTAGATCTCATTTGAGTTAAATAGCTTAGACACTTAACTCCCATGTAGACTAATTCCAGGTGTCTTAGACTCAAACTGAATCTCACTCAACTTCTTTGGGAGCCATAAAAAAACATCCACAATTCAGGAATCCTAAGGGGCTCATGGGCGAAGTATTTCAATTTCCTACTGAAGTAAAGCAAATTCTCTAGAAAAGCTCACACTGGCAGCCATAGATATTTCAACTGTATTATTAATCATGAAATCAGTAGAGTTTCTTATAAATGTAAATGCTGTGAAATATATTAAACCCACAGTAATTCACATACATGAACATCATAGAGTAGAAATCCTGTCTTATTTCAGGAGTGCTGTTAGAAAATTGTGCTCAACAAGAAATCATGGAGCCAAACCATCACACAGAATCCCAGAATGTCAGGGATTGGAAGGGACCTCAAAGGATCATCTAGTCCAATCCCCCTGCCGGAGCAG